GGCTGCAGCCCCCAGCCCCACAGTACCCAAGGCTGCAGCGCCCAGCACCGCGCTGCGCTATCGCAGCGCGCCATCGCAGCGCTGGCCTCGATCCCCACCTGCTGGTCACTGCCCAGACTCCCAGGGCTGCTGCACGGATCCCCCGAGGCTGCAGATTAGAGGATCGCAGTCTGGGGTGGCCTTCCCCGTGGGGACCCGTGTGCAGCTGCCAGAACGGGTCCCACTCCCACTGCTGCCATCCCTACCTGTGCCCTGAGCCCCCGCAAGGGATCCCAGCCACTCCCCGGGATTTTTCTTATTCAAACACGTTATCTTTAAGGTCTGCCCATCTTCCCAGGATCCCATCTGTTTCTTCCAGGCTCCCCTAAGGAGCAGTTTTTTCCACCTCTAACACTCGCCATCTCCACCACCAGTGGCGACTATCCCTTTTTCTGCTGTTACCCAAGGGTCTCCCTCCTCATTTTCCCAGTGTCTTTTCCTTCTCCCTGTTTTTCCTGCTCTCCTTTCCTGTTCTCCTCCTCCCTCTCTCCTTCTCCTCCCTCTCCTCCTTCTCCTGCTTCTCCTCCCCTCTCCCTCTCAGCTGCCCCCAGCGCTGGCGGTCACCCCAACAACCCCGCGCTGCCGCCCAGGACACACCTGATCCTCCCTCGGCCCTGAATCGCCACCAGCTTCAGCCTCTCCCGCACGAGCCAACACCCCAGCCATTCTTCCCTCACTTCGCCCATCCCAATCCCACAAGCGTTGCCGTCCGCCCCCTTTCCAGGGTCCCCTGTGCTTTGCCAGGAAATGGGACAAGCAGCAGCTGCTCCGGGCAGCGGTGCCTGGGCCAGGGCAGCACAGGGGCTGTTGGGCCGGATCGGGCCCCTCTTCCCTATCATTCAATGTCCTGTCTCCCAAGGGCGACCACAACGCGGTAATCCTGCAAAGAGCACAGACAGGAATATCTTCCGGAGAGGCGAAGGGGAGGAGAGGCCGCCTGCAGAGAGTGAGGGGTGCCCGTCGCTGGAGGCCTCCCCGGGGGCACGGACGCGTTGGGGGCGATCAGACCCGGGCAGCCCCCGAGCGCGGAGGCACCGACGGCCTCCCGAGGTCTTCCCAGACGTGTTTTCCAGAGTTCCTCTCTCCCGGCCACTGGAGGTTGGTCCACACAATGAAGCAAGACCACGTGCATTTCTCACTCCCCAAAACCTTGAGTTTGTTTCCACATCGGCTCTAGTGGTTCCGGATACTATCCCAGCCACTCCTCGGGATTTTTCTTATTCAAACACATTATATTTAAGGTCTGGGGGCTGCGGGACGGGAAGCTGCCCTCCTGGCACTGCCCCTCGCCCTCCAACCAGGACCACGGTTTTGAAGCTGTTAGCACCTCTAACGGCCCTCGCTTCCCTGCTTGTAAAGGCAGCGCCAGAACCTGGACACGAATCCCAGCCGAGGCCTCCTGCAGCGCCGACAAGAAATAAGTTACTGGACGTTTTGCGTGCAGAATTCCTATTGCTGTACACCCCGAGAGGCGGTGCGAGCCCCGGCCGCTCCTTGGGGCACAACAAGCACCCGGCGGCTCCCGCGACCCGCGCGCTGCTGCCTCCCAACGCCGCAGGAGCGGCCGTGCTGGGCCGTGCCGTGCCGTGCCGTGTTGTGCCCTGCCATGCCGTGCCGTGTTGTGCCCTGCCGTGCTGAGCAGCGCTGTGCCGCATCGTGCTGCGCCGCGCCATGCCGCGCCGTGCTGCAGTGAGCCGGCCAACGCAGACAGGCTCCCAGACGCGGCAATACGGGCGAGCTCCCAAAGAGGGAGCCTCCGGCACGCGGCCTGGCGCCGGCGCGGCAGCCTCCGCATCACGTTGCAGTGCGGGCTCCAGCGCAGCCCCGCGGGGAGGGAAGGGAGCGGGTGCAGCCCCGGTTCCCCTCGCCCACAGCGCTGGGCGGAGGGGCCGGCACTGCGGGACACGTCGCCTGCAGCCCCCACGCTCCCCCCGCAGCCCCCGTGTCCAGCGCAGCCCGGCCGCCCTGCAGGGCAGCACGCGGGGGGCTGTCCCCAGAGCCCCCACAGTGTGTCCAGCAGCACCCACAGACGCACAGGGATCGGGGCGGCACCGCGCTTCTGGAGCCCGTGCTCCCCGGCCCTGCGTTTCCCAGCCCGGCG